GTTTTCTCTCTTTCCTTCTTTATTTTCTTTCCTTCCTTCCTTCCTTCCTTCCTTCCTTCCTTCCTTCTTTTCCTTCCATCCTCCCTCCCTCTTCCTCTCCCCCTATCTGTCTGTCTGATCTTGAGGTTTGGAAGAAGAGACTAGCCAGCCATTTGTCTGAAATGGGGTAGGGTCTCCCGCTTGAGGAGGGGGCTGGACTAGAAGACCTCCAAGGTCCCTTCCAGCCCTACTCTGATGATGTTGCGTATCTGCCTGAAATGGGGTAGGGTCTCCGGCTTGAGCAGGGGGCTGGACTAGAAGACCTCCAAGGTCCCTTCCAGCCCTACTCTGATGATGTTGCGTATCTGCCTGAAATGGGGTAGGGTCTCCGGCTTGAGCAGAGAGGTGGACTAGAAGACCTCCAAGGTCCCTTCCAGCTCTAGCCAGCCAAGATTGACCAGAATGCAGCACGAATACGACAAGAACCAATGTGGCTAGATCATTTTTTTTTCGCTTGGGGAACTTTATTAATAGACGGTGGGAACGCAGTCGACGTAATATATCTTGACTTCAGCCAAATGGGGGAGAAAAAAAAGAGCTATCCAGGGGAATTCTGGGAGTTGAAGTCCCAGATTTGCCCCACCCGGCCTGAGAGCCCCCCCCTCCCTTCTTCCCGCCCTCCAGGAGCCATGGCTGGTCCCAGCGCCCCCAGCTACGTCCGGGAATTCACCCGCCACTCCAGCGACGTCCTCACGAACCTGAACGAGCTGCGGAAGCGAAGGATGCTGACGGATGTCACCTTGAGGGTGGGGGGCTGCCCCTTGCAAGCCCATAAGGCTGTGCTGACCGCTTGCAGGTGAGACTTCCCCCACCCCACAGGTGAGGGCGAGCGAGGTTGGCACTGTCATGGTGTATAATTCGAACCCAGAACTCCCGTGGCGGCTTCCGGCATACCCAGAAACAAAACGAGGTGGGATTCCCCATCTAAGAAAAGGGGCGTTGGTGCAGATAGTCCTTGACTTACGACCAGTCCAACACGGGCACTGAAAAAAGCGACTGACGGACGTTTTTCACACTTACGACCGTCGGAACCTCCCCTGATCAAAATTCGTATTTATGACGGGCTCAGCATCCCGGGGGGGTGGGGGTTGGGCAATTACACTATCTCCTTTTGCGACCAAGCACGGGGAAGCCGGATTCACTTAGCAACCGCGCGGCTCGCTTAACGACGGCGGCGATTCCCTTTGACCGCGCTGGCGAGGAAGGTCGCAAAACGGGACAAGGCTGGCTTCAGCCACATCTCGCTAAGCGACGGACAGGTTGGGTTGTCGTCGTAAGTCGAGGACCACCTGTAGGGTGGTGTTTTTTTTTGTTTTTTTTTTAAAAACCCTCGTTTTGCGTTTGAATTTTTTACAAATGTGTATTTGAACCTTTTTTCCAAATCAAATAAAAAATGCAATTTTAATTACTCGTCCCTGCAGTAAACTGAGGCTCGGTAGGAAATATTAGCCACAGGGGGAGGCCCCGCTTCAGCCACATGGGCCCGAGCGAGGGTGAGGCGCATGGGATTTGTAGTCCGCTCGCTTTGAAGCGGCCAGAGATGGATATACCTTGATTCCCCGCCTTCTTTCTCCAATAGCGGCTTCTTTTACTCGGTTTTCCTGGGCCACGGAGGCCACGAGGTCAGCGTGCTGACCCTCCCCAGCTCCATCGAGCCGGTGGGCTTCCAGGCCCTCCTGGATTTCATGTACACCTCCCGCCTCCTCCTCAGCCCGGGCACGGCGCCCGCGGTGCTGGTCGCCGCCTCTTATTTGCAGATGGAACATGTAGTCCAAAGCTGCCACCGATTCCTCCAGGCCAGGTACCCGGGGGGAGGGTGGGGAGGGGGATTTAAAGGGGAGTGGGGGATCCCCGAAGTCCAAAATGGGGAAGGAAGGGGTTTCTCTTGGATTGGGGACATCTGGAATGAAACAGGAGGGGTTTTTCAAATGGGAACAAAACAATTCTTGGCTTCGAAAATGGGGGGGGAAGTGGGGGGTCTTTTGGGGGGGAATTTAAGGGGTTTTGGGGGATAGAAAGCTGGGTTGTCCCCACTTGGAGACCTCGGGATGTGTGGGTTCCCAGCCAGCATTGGATTCCTGCTGAGGGATTCTCAACTTGGGCCACTTTAATATATCTGGACTTCAACTCCCAGAATTCCCCAGTCAGCCTGCTTTAAGATGAATGGACTTCAACTCCCATAATTCCCCAGTCAGCCTGCTTTAAGATGAATGGACTTCAACTCCCAGAATTCCCCAGTCAGCCTGCTTTAAGAGGGGTGGACTTCAAGTCCCAGAATTCCCCAGTCAGCCTGCTTTAAGAGGGGTGGACTNGGTTAGAGAGTGGACGGCCATTTGTCTGAAATGGGATCTTAGGGGGGGGCTCCTGTTTGACTAGGGGGCTGGGCTAGAAGGCCTCTGGAGTTCCCTTCCAGCCCTCTCTCCTTCTTTCTCCCTCTCTCTATCCCCTATCTCTCACTCTTTCTTTCTCTCTTTTTCTTTCTTTTTCTTTCTTTCTTTCTCTACACCCCACCCTCTCTCACTCCCTGTCCCTCTTTCTCTCTTTTTCTTCTTTCTTTCTTTCTTTTTTTCTTTCTTTGTTTCTTTGTTTCTTTTTTCTTTCTTTCTCTACACCCCACCCTCTCTCACTCTTTCTTTCTCCCTTTCTCTCTTTTTCTTCCTCCCTTTCTTTCTATCTTTCTTTTATTCTTTCTTTCTCTCCTTCTCTCTCTACCCCACTCTCTCACTCCCTCTCACTCTTTCTCTCTCTCTCTTTTTCTTCTTTCTTTCTTTCTTTCTTTTTTCTTTCTTTCTCTACATCCCACCCTCTCTCACTCTTTCTTTCTCCCTTTCTCTCTTTTTCTTCCTCCCTTTCTTTCTATCTTTCTTTCATTCTTTCTTTCTCTCCCTCTCTCTCTACCCCAATCTCTCATTCCCTCTCCATCTTTCTTTCTTTCTCTCTCTCTTTTTCTTCTTTCTTTCTTTCTATGTTTCTCTTTTCTTTCTTTCTCTACACCCCACCCTCTCTCACTCTTTCTTTCTCCCTTTCTCTCTTTTTCTTCCTCCCTTTCTTTCATTCTTTCTTTCTCTCCCTCTCTCTCTACCCCACTCCCTCACTCACTCTCACTCTTTCTTTCTCTCTCTCTCGCTCTTGCTATCTATGTCTGTCTGTCTAACTTGTCTGTTTATCTATGTCTGTCTGTCCGTCTGTCTGCCTAATCTTGAGGTTTTGAAAAAGAGGTTGGCCGGCCATTTGTCTGAAACGGTATAGGATCTCCTGCTTGAGCAGGGGGTTGGACTAGAAGATCTCTAGAGTTCCCTTTCAGCCCTCTGATCCTCCCACTCACTCCCTCCCTCTTTCTCCCTCTTTCGTTTTTTCCTTCCTTCTTTTTCTCCTTTCCTTTTTTTCTTTTTCTTCCTCCCTTCTTTCTTTCTTTTCCTTCCTTCCTTTCTCTTTTTCTTTTTTCCCTTCCTTCCTTTTCTCCCCTCACTTCTTCTTTCCTTCTCTTTAACTTTTCCTTCCTTCCTTCTTTTCTTTCTTTCCTTCCTTCCTACTTTTTCTCCCTTTATTTCTTTCTTTATTTTCTTTCCTTCCTTCCTTCCTTCCTTCCTTCCTTCCTTCCTTCCTTCCTTCCTTCCTTCCTTCTTTTCCTTCCATCCTCCCTCCCTNTTTAAGATGAATGGACTTCAACTCCCAGAATTCCCCAGTCAGCCTGGTTTAAGATGAATGGACTTCCAACTCCCAGAATTCCCCAGTCAGCCTGCTTTAAGATGAATGGACTTCAACTCCCAGAATTCCCTAATCAGCCGGCCTTAAAATGGGTGGACTTCAACTCCCAGAATTCCCCAGTCAGCCTGCTTTAAGATGAATGGACTTCAACTCCCAGAATTCCCCAGTCAGCCTGCTTTAAGATGAATGGACTTCAACTCCCAGAATTCCTCAGTCAGCAATTCTGGGAGTTTGAAATTCCTCCGATCCTCCAGAGGCCAAGATTGAGATAAACTGGGTTAGAATAGATCGTCATTTCTGCTTCCCACTTTTAAATGGCAAAGTTTCACTTAACAAGCGTGGCCAGAAAGGTGGTAAAATGGGACAAAATTCACTTATAAGGAATGTCTCGCTGAACAAGAGAATTTTGGGGTTCAATTGTGGTCATAAGTCGAATCTATGAGGTTTGTGGGGGACGGATCTCTGCACCCCCTAACCCTTCCCTGTGTGATCCCCGCAGTTACGACCGGCTGACCTTCCTGGTGCCCCCCCCGGACTGCCAGGCGCTGCCCGAAATGTCCCAGCCGCCGAAGGACGAACCGTCCCTGCAACGAGGCGCCATCGTGGTCCCCTTTCTCCGAGGGGCCACCACCGAAGGGCCCCCGCAACCCGCATCCTTTCACCCCCCAGGAAAGGATTCCGCAGCGGTCAGATCCCCGGGGATCCCCGGGGATCTCTTCCCGGGGGGCCACCCGGCCTCCCCCGACGAGTCCAGCAGCTGCGCCCCGATCCCGGAACCCAAAATTTGCAACTGGAAGAAGCACCGTTTCATCGTTCTCCATGCCACGCTTCCCCCCGCGGAGGGCATCCCGCGTGACGAGGCGGGAGGGCCCGTCAGCGCTGGAGAAGGAAGCCCCGCCCCCAGGTCAGAACTCAGCCCCTGACGTCAGGGCAAGGGGGCCTCTGAGCACGTACAGAGGGCTTCCCCTAAATTCTGCGCCTCTGTATCGGGTCAGGGCTCCCACCAGCCGGGCACTGGGAAGTATAGTTCCCAAACTTCTGGGCACGACCAGATCGGAGAGGGGTGTGTGGGTCGTCGTGCTGGGAGGGCAGCCCCTGGGCACGTGCAGAGTGCAGCTGCTTTCTTTCCCTGCTCTGACCCCCCCCCTGCTTGCCCCTCCACAGGAGCCCTCCGGCTGACCCCCAGTGCTCCATTTGCAACCCGGCGCCCACCGTCCTCTCTTCCCAGACCCCCAAGCGCCTTTCTGCACAGAGGGGAGGCGGCTGCAGCTCTGGTGAGTTGGTGATGGGGGGGGAGAGATGGGAGGTCTAAGAGATGGGAGCGGGGGTTCTGAAGCTCAGTGGGCCCCCAGCAACCCCCTGCCCACCTAGCCAAGGGGGGGGGAGGGCAGTTGGAGAAGCCTTTCCCCCCCCCCTGCCTTCAAAGGCCCAGAAACAAAAATCTTGTCTTTCTGAGTCGTGTTTTTTTCCCCGGTGTCGTCATAACTTTGAACGGTCGCTAAAGGAACGGGGCGTAAGTCAAGAACGGTCTGGGTTTGTGCCTGGCCACAGACAGCCTGTAACAGAGAGGAAGGTTAGGGAGGCATGCGCAGAGGGCAGAGGTCTCCACCCAAGAACCTTTGACTGCTGCCCAAAAGCTTCTGTAGCTAGGAAAAGATTAAAATAGAGATACAGGATGGATGGATGGATGGATGGATAGATAGATGATAGAGAGAGAGAGAGATAGGGAGATAGATAGATAGATAGATAGATAGATAGATAGATAGATAGATAGATAGATAGATAGATAGATAAATGAATTTATTCATTCATTTATTCATTCATTTATTCATTCATTTATTCATTCATTTATTCATTCATTTATTCATTCATTTATTCATTCATTTATTCATTC